CATTTTATCAAACCGAATAAGCGATTAACTCATTGTATAAACGTGTTTTTTGGTCTGAGTGAGTTGTGTATTTTAATTTTTCATAAATTCATCTGTAACTTTTTTGGGTGTAAAATGTCTTTTTTATGCGAGAATGAAGAATTAATTACTCAAATTTGAGTTCCAATCACGTAGTGTGTATATTTTTTTTATTAGGTTGTACGCTTCATTTTCTAGAGACCCATTCAATCACTGTTTTTGGTATGCAACATTTCTATCCTTCTTCTTTGCCAATGGGCGCTAGCAGTTATTGATATTAGCAGTTGAGTCACTAAGCAAACGATATCCCTAAAATAAAAAAAACTCTACCTGCTATATTTCACAGTTTGGCTGTCTATGTTAAACTTTGCCATTGGACGGTTAATCTCCAATTCCTTGTGTACTCACGTGAATATATCACGACAAATAAGTTATTTTTACAAGTTATTTTTACACTCCAGAATTCGGCCGTTTACTCTCACTTATTTGGTGTTGGCTCTTCAGTCCCTAAATTTACTTCTAAAAATCTGTTTGAATGGCGCACAACACTTGGCAAAAGCCAAGCTTTGTTTAGAAGAGCCAAAAGAAACAACGCAGACGACTGATGACAAAAGTAAAAAAAAGAACGGGTTGGGTTTTGTTGCAAAAGGGAATGACCGGCAGAAGTGTCGACAGGCAACGTGTCGTCTGCGATCAACAGTACTGACGAACTTGTCACTGCATGGAGAGAAATCTTCAGACATACTACTTGAATGCATAACATCTGAAGCAAACGCTTTATTAACAGTTTATCAGTCAAGAAGATAGTTATGTGGTGTGTTAGGAGGTGGCGGCGCTAATATTTGCATAGAGTGGACTTTTATAAAGAGGTGGACGTAGCTTTCAAGCGGTTAGCAGATGTAAGGGTCGAGGAGAATTGAATGAACCAGTAGAAAAACGGTTAATGATTTCTGCAGAAACAGCATGGATCAACAAGAATGTGCAATAAAGCGCCTAGCAATACCCAAATACGATCCGTCAACATAATTTTAATATCTTTTGGAAAGTATCTGAAGTCGTAGTGGACAAGGGGCATAGTCATGCAACATAGAGAAAAAGATGAGGCTAACTGCTTGTTTGAGGAAAAAACGGAGCGAACAATTTCCACAACAGCATTCAGGGCTACAACCTATCAGTAGCTTCAGAAACACTGAGGAAGGAGGATGAGTGAGAGGCAAAAGCAATGGAGTTAACCGCTGAAAAACTAATAACTCTCATCTCTGTCAGAGAACTGAACGTATGGTGATGATGATTACATGATAAGACCGACTTGTTCATGGAAGGGGGAAAGGAAAAAGAGGAAGCTGAATTGTCGCTTTAATCAAAAATACACATCTTAAACGAGTTAGATTTTAATTTAATTTAATAAAATAGTGAGAATCATATAAGGTGGTGGTTTTGCTACCACGAGGTTCCATTGAAAGCTTTGGTTGAGAGACAACGACAAGTTTTTGCATTTCCTATCAGCTTTCGATTAGATTCGTCTTATATCAGTCTTCACTCCGGTTTTTTGTTCTGTGGATAGGTTCTGGTAAAAGTGCAAAAAACTGCGTCGACAGACCTGGAGGGGTAAGCTTCCGCAAAAGGTCTCCGCACTGCCGGTTCAAACCTGTGTTAGTTTGTGCATTCCTTAACTGACTGAAATATTCTTCTTTCGCTTATTACATATTCTCGTTTGATGTGTATTCCTTATTCTCAGTTGTTGCGTATTTCTTTGATCTCTCACTAATTCTGTCGATGGATTGTGGCTCACCCGGGTGGGCCATTGTGTAATTTTTGGTATAGTGACATTGGTATTGGTTTTTTCTTCCTGTGTCTCTCATGCATATTGCTGATTTGGTATTTTTTTGCTATTTTTTTGATAGTGTTTTTTGCTTCTCCTCCGCAGCAACATACTTTTAGTGTTGTCTTTTTTTCCAGCTCACTCCTGTTTCATTTTTCTTTGATAGCTTGCTTCACGTGTTAAGAGGAATAAAAGTTGATCGACTCAGTTCACATGTCTGTTTAGTATTGCTGAAAAAGGATCCTCCAAGTGAGTTGTAATAGAAGTCTTAGGCTAACTCTGTAAAAATCACAAAGAATCTTATTTCTGAAGGAGGTATCGAGCAACCGTTTCACAATTTTGTCAACTAATGATACTCTTAGAGCGTCGGAAACCACAGCATTGAAAGAGCTCAAGAATTTTTTTATCTTTTTACGGTTTAGTCTCTATATCACCGGCTTGTCGGAAAATTTCTCCAACAATGGAGTTTATGGTTTTCATTCAATATCTTTTGGCACCCAGTTCCTTAGAATACATGAGTTGTTGACGTAATCTTCCGATTCCTTTGAAGTCATAAACTCCCCTCTTCTACTAATCTCTAACAGAGTGGTGTTTATCTGTCTTTATTTTCGTTGAATGAACTTGTTGAGGTGATGCCAGACGGAGAATTGGAGGTATAAATGTGTACAATTTTCTAAAAAACCTGTACATAGTATTTGTAAAAATACTGTAGGTCATTTCAGCCGCGCACCGCTGACTAAAACTAGTTTTTGATGAGAAATAGAAACTTTGGACTTGCTAGGTAATCATAATTCTGAAAAGCTGTTTCATTTCTATCTCACGTTCGCTTCCGTTAGGTCACAACTGATAGGATGAATGACTTCTCCTATCTTTTTAAACAGTATACCAGCTTTTTTCTGTGTACACATAAAAACAAAATTTTTGTCGGCTAGTAAAATTCCTTGATAATTCTTCATTTGTCATTAAAGCTTACATATACAGCAATACTAATAACGTGAACAATAACAGTTTAAAAACAGAGACAGTAAGGAAGGAGAAATTTCTGGTTAGACCAACTAAAGTATGCTTTTGAAGGATCAGCTGTAACATCGTGAATGTCTTCATAGAGTTAAATTCCTATTTGAATCTTTATTGATGCACCGTCATCTCTAGCTTTCTTCTCCATACAAAAGTCTGTCACCTTCGCACGATGAAGAGTCTAAACCATACATTTGAGGCTTGCTTCGTTTACTGTTAACTCATGAATGTTTTCTTGAAAAGTTTAATCCAGCGTTCCTCAACCTTTCTTGGTTCGTCACCTTCTTTCGAAAAAAGAATTCAATTTTGTTTTTTACCAGTTCTCCTTTTTCTTCTGTTTTTTGCAACTTGCCCACTTCTTTATTCACTTTCAGTTTCGTTATGCTATAAAGTGCATCAAAATAGCGCTTAATTAAATTGTTCATTTAAAGTTTAAAGCTTTCATTGCCCTTCTAGTACCTTTCTTGCTTAGTGTCTGTAAGGCTTTTATACGTCTTTTGCTAGCATAAAATCGCTTCTTGCAGGAACGATACCGTTGCTCTTTAGGACCACCAGTGTAGCTAC